TACTACTACTACAACTACAAATACAAATACTACTACAACTACTACAAATACTACAACTACTACAACTACAACAACAACTACTACTTCTGCTGCTGCTGCTGCTACTACTACTACTACTACTACGACTACTACTACTACTACTACTACTACTACGGCTGCTACTACTACTACTACTACTACTACTACCACTACTACCATTGCGACGGCAACTACTACTATCCGCTGCCCCCTCCCCCTGCCCCTACCGCTACATCCGCTGCTGCTACTGCGACCGCTGCTACTACCACTTCTTCTACCACTACGACAACCACTGCTACTGCCACTACTGCCACTACTACCACTATACTACTACCACTACCTACTATGCTCACGCTCAGCTTAAACGTCAAGGGCTATGCGGGCGACGCTTATCCAATGTGCTACGAGTACAAAACAGATTTTGGCCACATGCAGCTAGCTAGCCAACAAAGCTAGGCTCAAACACGGACATATTATTTTGGTGTACTGTTGGTCACAGAAGCCTTAATGAGTCAGAGTTTGCTATAGTTGTATAGGATAATGTAAGGCTTTCACGTTTTTGTTCAAGCGTCCTGCATGAAATCGACGACGGTATCGCTGGGGACTTCCTGATCTGCTGCGCCGTTCTGAATAAGTACACGGCAATCTGTGTTGTACCTGGAGGCTTCAATGGAGATGCTTCTTTGCAGGGTCCGCCGCTCAGTGCTCTATAGATTACATTGCCTAAAGTCGAAAGGCTCAGGTGGGTGGCACATGTGAGCAAAAACGCCTTCGCTGCGGGGAGCATGACTGGATGGTTGATCCCAGAGGGGCATTGTGTGCAAAAGTGCCAGCTCAACGCGGCCTTCTGACTGCCGGCAAGCTGCGTGTTGGGAATTGCCAATTCCCTGGCATAGTCCTCCCTGGACATACGTTTCCTTAGCATCCCGCAAACCCAACCTGCATGCTCACGCTGTGCTGGTGAGGGAGCGTGAAACTATTCCAATCAGTTTATTAATATAGCAACAAACACACCCCGATACGCAACAAACATTTGTCAGTAGTCAACATAGATCAGCGACCTCCCAAATCGTGCCACATGGGTAGACATCAAACTGCTAATGCAACTCGCTAAGGGTGAGGTAGGTGCCAGTCGCAATTCCTTGGGCCAATCGGCTTGATCATAGAAGTCAGTTTTCAACAGGTTTCGCCTGGCATGGAGTGCATGTGGGGGACATGAGCTGAGGGGACGCTTTAACCTTCGCTTGCATCCGCACCTGTGAATCAGACATGCGCACTGTGAAAACCTTAATTCTGACACTACTTCGTGGCGATACGCTCTGAGACATACGATTGTGCGTGTACAGACTTCGCCTTCCAGGCTGCGCATGCTGCTCTCATATACACCCTTCTGTGCAGGTTTGCGACCAGCATGCAGGCAAGCGAATGCAGTCAATAACAAATTGAATGACCACCCGATTTAACATTTTGAATTGTTCGAATTAGTTCAACTACTTTGTTCATTTAAACCCTCAGGGATCCGAGATATATGAATACGGGATTGAAATTATTTCGGCTATTTCAAAAGAATGGTTCCTAAGTAATGAAAAACTAAGATGATTGAAATGGGAATCTCTTCCAGAGGTTCCCCCATCATTTAAATAGTCAAACATAACTAAAATCATGGAAATAATTAACATACGTAACTTCATCGGGGGTTCCCGATTTAATTGTTTCAAACATTCTAATAATGATCCGCCTTAAGAGCTACATGAACACCGGATTCAATTATTTCAATCATTCTAACAATTTGGTGACTTGAATATTTAAAACAATTAAGATTCCCCAACCGTGTAAACAATTAGAATTATTGAAATAATTAAATCGGTGGGTGATTTAGCCGCTTCAATTATTTTAAAACAACTTGGGGAGCTAGATAATGGAAATAGTTAAATGACCCCCCGACTTAATCATTTCTATTGTTCCAATTGTTCTAATTATTTAAATCCTCGGGGACCCGCCTGAAAGAAGGGGATTTAATTGACATGATATAGTAAACGTTAAGACAAGAAGCTACGACCAAGAGAAGCCAGCGAGCCAAAACCCCGGACAAAGGCTTTTCTGTCTCGAGAAGTTTATGTTGGTACAGAGCCGTCCCAATTGTTCAGCCGAGCATCAAGGAATTGAGAGGTTCGGCCTCTGTCGTGGGCCTGAAGCCAGCGTTGAGGCCGAAGCTTTAAGACACCGGCTTGGCTTGCTCGGGCCTTCGTGGAACTACCTGACATCCAACAAAGCGCTTTTCGCTGCGTACGTCTAGTGGGTCTCGCGATCTCTCGTGATCTCAGCAAAAACTGTCAGTGTGAGCCCAGCGCAGTATGTGTGTGTGTGGGGCCATAGGGTTTCGAGGATTATATCTGGGCGGCAAGCCAAGCGAGACTTCGTGACAGCATCTTGGGTCAGCATGAAGCATCCAGATCAGCAAAGTTTAAAACAGTTCGGGAAGCATCCTGGACCCCTCCGCTGCCTGGAGTGGAGCAGGCCATGGAGGCTGCAAATCGCCTTCCATCGGAGACTGATTCAACTGAGCCATCCTAAACCCTTTTGCAACAGGCTTTCCACTTCGCCCGGAGTCCTAAACCCTAAACCCCATCAATGCTACGGGATTCCTGTTTTGGGCGGAGCTGGAGAGCAGGCCTGGACCTGCTGCCCGGCACGAACCTGCCGGAAATGCAAGGGAACATGGCCTGGGGTATAGGATTCTATAGACCTAAGGGATATGTAGTAGTAGGCTTGCATATTGGGTGGAGATGGGTAGCGCCACACTGGATCCAGCAGGATCCAGCATGGTAATCTGTGCATAGGATGACTCCCAGAGCCTGCTCCAAGCAGCTCTGGCCACCCAGGCAATACCCGATGGCCCCTGCATAGCCGCTTTTCACCTCCGGCTTGATTTCACGTGCACATCAGCTCAGAACTTGATCATGAAGCGCATTGATTGGCACCTCTTGTTCGAGGAATCCCGTGACACAATGCGTCCCTTATCGGCCCAGGCACGGCCGGATGAGCGAAAGCCTTCTGCAGAAATGCATCCATAAGCCCTCGCCACTTGCCTGCGCTGGGAAGGCTGTTCGCCGAATAGAGCAGGTTCGGACAGCTCGGAATAGTGACCCCCGAAGTCATCACCCAGTTGCGAGGGGCACAAGGGGAGGGCAGCCCCTACAAGTATAAGAGGCCGTGCTGGAAGCGCCCGTCATGGACAAAGCATCGCGACCCAAAATTCTTCCGATCCAACCGACCGCAGGCTCCCAAGTATCGATAGGCCCACGTCCACACAGGCCCGCCATCACACCGAAAACAACCACCTCTACTCAGCCTCTCTCATAGCTTCCACTCCTTGACCATAGAATGCCTCCCTGCAATCCCCTGCAGCGACCAAGAGTCCCAAAAACGGCTTGAAGGCTTCATCAGGAGGAAGACCCACGCGCTCCGGGGACACCCCTCGGGAAACGACCCAGCCGAACCAGCCTGGCGCCCGCAGCAATGCATTCATTTGGCGAAAAGCTCCAATGAAGTGCTTGATGCCCTGGGATTCTGGCGTAGGAAGCTCTCTGTCTCCCTCTGTCTCTCCCTTGCGGCACTTTAGATCTATCGCTGGCTCGGCTGGCGGACGACAGGCTGATGGAGCGTACGATTCGAACGACAGGGCACCAGAGATTCTTGCGAGACGCGGGATGACGTGGAGAGAATTCTGAGTGCGTTTCGGTCCCTGTCAGCCGAGAGCCAGGGAGGCCGGGCCAACGAGGACATTTTTGGGGCTGCGGTTGACTGGACATGGCCACCCAAACACCCAATGCACTCAAAGACCCAGTAAGTCACAATGCTGCTTGGGAATTCACGTAACTTCGTGCCGAGGCACTTGCCAGTGCACCTTGCCATCCGCTTTCGGGACCGCATCGAAGAACACGCGTAGCTCCTGCGAGCCGAGAACGAATGAGGAGTATCCTTCACACAAAGGCCACTTCCCTCGACCAACAAAAGGTCTTGCATTCTGTCGCTGCTGCTGAACTTTGAGCCACATTTGTGCTCCTGCTCGCTACTTGCTGACAGAAAAGCATAGTTCCCTCTCAAGCAAAGGGGTCGGGTGCGAGCACATCCGACTGAGCAAAATCGAAGGACTTTGACTTGGGATCAGTTTCGGTACACATTTGAATTTTCTTTCCCCGGGGATGCACCACAACCCAAAAATTGTGCAAGGACTGCGCGTGCTCGTCTTGAAGACATATCGGAAGACAGCGAAGAAACCAAGCTACAAGTATGCTCCTCGTCGGAGTACTGCGAGTTCTCGCGCTCCATGGGATTGTCTTCACGTGCAGCCGCACAAAACCCCTGCAGCTGGGCACATCGCGATCATATTGCAGAAGCAGGCCAAATCGGTAGTGAAAGTAAGGTTAACAGCAACCAACGCTTGAACGTGTACAGCGGTGAAGTTGTGTGGGCGCCCCACGATCGGTCGTGGAGGATCAAACTTTCAGGCTTCTTGGATTTTCGATGAGCTGAGGTTGGCACAAGTCGTGGATCGTATATAAGATAACAGTGATTGTGACGAAGTCATGCGGGGCGGCTGGGCAGGCTACAGTGACATGACAATGGCCTACGTGGAACAACTCGTCCACATCGCATTACAGATTGGCCGGGCCCAGCCTCAAGATCCACGGGATGCCCATAATTCACAGACCTATCCTTGTAGGTGAAGGCCGCGGTCTCTTTGTACAGGTCCTTAAGCGGCTTTGACATGAGCGCAGTTTCAAACGCTGCAACACATGCGACAAACGTGGCTAGTCAAAGCCAGAGAATCCACTGCCAAACCAACGTAGCCCACCTTTGCAAAAAAGCAGGCTTGATCGATGTCAAACTGCTTCAAACCCGCGTAGTTGTGATGCACCAGGATCACCGGCGCAGGTGCACTCCCAACGATATATGCAATGCGCCCGTGGATGTAGTCGTAGCCATCGAAGGAGATGGGAAACTCCTCTACTACAAGATCTCCATTCTTTGCGACTGCCTTGTCCACGGGCTTGAAACAGCCTTGTGTCCGGTACTCTGCGCCGCTCGGCTTGTCTTGGCCACACATGGCTGCTCGGTTGCTTGGCCAATGCGGTCAGGGACTTGCTAACTTCATCCTTCTGTCACTGGCATGACATGACATGGCCATCTCGTCTTTCCACGTTTTAAAACTGCTGGCCTTGTTCGAGTCATGAATGCAACGCGTCCGCATGAGTCTCGGGCTCAAGCCTAAAAGCGGCTAAAGGTTGACGCAGCATGACCGAGCGATGTGATACTTCAAGCATGGCATCTTGCATAGTCTTTCAAGTTTGCATGTGTGTTTGACAGGCTCGTATGCTCATGACAGGCTAGATGCAGCTACACATACGGCATGTTGGGCCAAGGTCGCAGAAATAATTGAAACTTCGACACGTAATCTTGGATGTACATTTACTTGAGGTCCATTCAACATCTTTGTTCGAGAGGCCAGGGTAGCCTTCGCGGCAGGCTTGATTGATGTTGCAGCAAACTCGGTAAGCTGCACGCGTAAAATGTTTGCCGCAGCTTGTCCCTGCAAGTACAGTACCATCAAGTACCATGAGCGGAATGGACTCGACACACCGTTTCATGAGTGACACATGCTCCTATTTGGACGGTTCCGAGGCAGAATTGCCGATTGAAACGCTGAACCTCACTTCAACCTTGAACCGAGCAGCAACCCACCCGTCCCTGCTCAGAGGCTTCAACGCAAGGTCTGCAAGGCACGTCGCAGGCGTGCCACGTAGCCTGCAGCTAAGTCCCGAAAAACGACTGCAGCTACAAAAATGCACTCCTACAGGTTTCCCTGCCAGCACCCGTGACTTCACATCCAGAGTGGTCACGAACACAAAAGGCACATGAGATCGACATGCCCTCATGTTGTATTGCATCGAAGTCGGTAGACCACGCAGGCAACGCACAATTCAGCGTCATGCTGTGCCAGCTCGCATCGGAGCCTGTGCGGGGCCGGAACACTTGGAAAAGCTCCTGCCAGCAGCCTACATTGAAATGGAACCGCCCGACGACTTATCATTTGATGTTTGCCCTCTCACATTGCAAGGATCGTTTTAATTAAAGAGGACGGATTCTGGATGCCCTGCCTCAGACCTTCAAGCGAATTCAGATCCGTCAGGATCGAGCCCAGCCATTCAAGTCATGGAGGGCTCCACAATGTCCCCTATGATCCTCAGGGTGTCCTCGTCCTCAGATGGCGAGAGGTCGCGAAGCAGCTCCAGGTCTTTGTAGCCTCGGAAGGTCACGAGTGGATTTTACCCCAGAATGCTGCCCGATCTAGTTCACAAGTTGGCCCGCGCTCTTAGGCCGCGATACTTGGGGCCGTGTCGAAACCAAGCGCAACCTGTCGAGTCGACCCTGTACCTCTTGTGCAGCAGGGCGAGCGGCTAGCCTTCTCAACAGCCTTCGTAGTGCAAATTGCAAAGCTTGCGATCTCGGCCAAAGTTGGTGTCGACCGGTCAAGGCCACCAGTTCATTCTCCGAAAACTGCAGAGTTGGACAGTGTGGGCAGATGTGGGCATTCCCAGTTGATCCAACGAGGCCTTCGCACATCGGTGCACACAACTCTAGCATACAGGAACACAGTCCTAATCGACTTGAAAACCTCGGAGCTTCTTCACAAAAACTCGGACCGCAACCGTTCCAGGCCAGGGCGGTGCTCAGGGAAGTGAGGCGCTCGGCCTGAGGCAGGTGACCCCCGTGTTGGCATCATGTCAAGAATATGCAAAGCCGCATCGTGGACTTAGTGGATCCTGACACTAACAAAAACCGTTCCCAGAGTTACCCGAGCAGGAGTGCAGAACACGGTGGCAGCCGTAAGTCAGTCCGTGTGTTTGGAACATTTGGGGCTCAGATGTGACCTTGGCCATCGTTCCGCCCCCAGCGCGGCCCTGCCCGGAAGAAAAGGCCAACTCTGGCCTGAAGCCACTCCTCCAACTCCACGCTCATGGGGCTTCCAGGGGTCCTTGGAGAGGGCTCACAGCTCTTTGCTTTCGCTTCGGAGTTGCGACATTCGGGAAAACACTCTCAGTTTAAAGCCTAGACTCCTAGACCTAGACAAGGCTTTAAGGCTCTGCTTACGACGGAAGCTCTTTGCTCCTCGTCCCAGATGCTGTAATCCACGTCTTCGTCTGATCAGAGTCCGGAGTCCGGCATGGGCCGTCTGTACTAAAATGTAGGTTGGCATTTGAAGGCATGCTCTTTTGTGACTTCTGAAGCTTCGATTAACAGGAGTCGTGGACCGCCGCACAGTCAACTACTCTTCAAACTCTGGAATCTGAACCGACTCGCTTGGTTTCAGTATCACCTACGAAGAAAGGAAAGAAATCCTTGTTTTTAGCGCAGATATGAATGCCTTGGCAATCTCCTCACGGACAAAGCGCAACCATCGCTGATTGCAGCGGTTTCTGCTTCAGGAAGGGACAGTGCGATGCAGGGCGGCCATGCTTCGCCAAACCCCGCCCATGGTCATGGTCCGCAGGACCGCACTTACAGCACCATACGTGGAAGCACAAATCGGCATGTGAATGGTATATGTCCATCAGCTCCAGGAATCTCTCAGCTCGTCCCGTAAGGTGCCAAAAGGCTTTGCCACAACCCGTCTGCATGAGCGCGAATCTGGACCCAAAAACCAAGACCTGAAGCTCGCAAGTCTTCAGTCCCTTCTACCATTAGCAGACATATCATGCAGATCTCAGTGCCGGGCGAAGAGGCTATGTTCTCGCGCTCTGTCGCCTTGGACAGCAGGATGGCATGATGAAATCTTGTTTTTGGTGATGCTCATTAACGATAAAGCCCAGTACATATCTTCATTGCATCTGTCCTGTTTCTGTACAACACTACCGCAATCACTGACGCTGTTCGTGGTCTATACTTTGCGGCCCTTGGCAGAACAGCATCCACAAAAGCAAGCCTGGTGCAGGTCATGTGGACCCGTTTGATCGAGCTCTTGCCGGCAAGCCTCCGCCCGAGCATGGCTCTCTCCCGACCGCGTCCAGGACCACATCCGACCCTGAAAGGGGAGGTTTCTGTACGGGATGTTACAAGGCCGAGTCAACCGAGGACAGCAGGGTGCCAAAGGTCAATGGCTAAACTGGCTAAATCTAGCCATCAGCGAAGGGCTCGCTTCACACAGCTACAGTAGCAGAGCCTTTCCCTCACTCTCGGCTGGAAGGAGAGGTGTCAAAGACAAGGAGTCTTGACACACCTTCCAATGCCTGTCAGAACATTCCTGCTGATCACTGCACGCGACAAGTCTTGACTGCTCTCTGCCTGCAGTGCCTCGGTACGGGCGGCAACAGCTACTGTTGGCCAAGCCGAATCCCAGAGCGAGCTTCTCTTATGAGTTGACATACGAATAGGCATCAAGCCATAAGCATCTTAACACCCTCCGATTTATCACCGGCTATGGTGGCTGTGAGATGCTGTGAGCATACAATAGCATAGCGCTAAAGAGCCACCTCGGCTGCAGAAGGGCGTTCAATGGGAAGATGGCACTGCTGTCGGCATATGCAGCGGATTCCTAGCTTCGTGCTGAAAACACCGAACAGAACAACAAGTACTTCCAAGGACAAGGCACAAGTTAGATGATGCATTCAGCCGAACTCTTATCTAACTCGTCTGAAACGTCTGCAGCGAATCACAAGCGTGTGAGTGCCACCGATCACTCGATATTTTTAAGCGTGGGCACAGCCCACAACTCATGTCGGAACCCTGTTGCAGGAGGGTATTCTGCAATGCACAGATGACAGGAGTCCCGACACGAGCAATGAGTGCTGGTATAGAGGGCCGCAACCTGGGGTGAAACACTCAATCTCATCGGAGCTGAACAAGCTAGGCTGTGCTAGTGGCCGTGAGCGTCAGAAGTTGACGTGCCCAGGGCCTCCCGCGAGCACCTGATTGCAGTGAAGCCTGCAACGTTTTCCACCGACAGAGGAAGCTTGCGTGGTTCCTGCTCTGTCACAGTTCGCTGCAGGGCTAAGTCCGAGCAAATACCATCAGCTTTGTCAGGCAGGGGTTGCATGGCATGCCTTGCCACAACACGGAAAATCACGATTCCTTCGCAATGCATGCCGAGCAGACCGAATCTGGTTCCAAACTTGATTCTGATTCGCCCCCAACCCCGACGAGTGCGTACCAAGAGGCTACGAAGAGGCGCCATCAGATTCAGAGCCTCGGCATGAGAATGCTTGCACCTTGCATCTGAGTCTGCGCACGACGCGCAGATGCGGATCCTTGGAGTACCTTCTTCACGGGTCCTGTTGCCACGAGCACAGAACCGGAGGCAGCAATCGGCAAGAACCTCTGAATCATTCAGTGCCTATCTATAGCGTGTATGTGTGTGTGTGTACCTATCTATCTATCTATATACATACATACAGACATACGTACATACATACATACATACATACCTATTTGTCTATATACGTATACACATGCACAGGTAAGAGGTAGGTAGAGTGTGCCCATGTCCATATGTGTGTATCTACATGAGGAAAGATAGGAAAGAACCACGGGGATAACGACATAACATAGGTAGACATGAGTGTTGGTTGCTGATCAATATTCCTTCTTAAGAAATGGCTCTTTCGCGAATTATGGCTTTCCTTTCGCGGGGCTTTCGCCCTCATTTTCGCGCGACATGTTGGTGGCGATAGCAGTAGCAGTTGGTAGTGGTAGTGGTAGTGGTAATCATAATAATAGTAGTAGTAGTAGCAGCAGCAGCAGCAGCAGTCGTGTTGGTGGTGGTGGTGGTGCTGGTAGGAGGAGTAGTAGTAGTAGTAGTAGCAGTAGTAGTAGTAGTAGTAGTAGTAGTAGGTCTGTGACTTGATACATTGGGATAATGGCGGCTGTTGTAGTCGAGACATGGCTTTGCAAAAGCTGGTCCGCCATTCGCGGCGTCTTTCACAGATCTTTTGCGGATCCTTCGCGCAGAACCTACAACGATTTCCCCAAAACTGCCACACTCTGACGCTGAGGCTGGGGTACACCCACAGCATGACAGCATGTTCTTTTATAGGTCTCATGTGTCCCAAGTCTGTTAATTACCTGAAAGCTTTCGCGGATTGTTGCCTGCCTTTTGCGGACCCATCGCAGATCTTTCGCGGACACATTGTTTGACATCAAAAACGGTTTTGTATACATCCGAAGTGAGAAGGACCTTTAGATCAATGCTCACATGTATACGTCTATACAATTTCTTACATACACATCTGCGTGCGGTTGCTTCTGTACATTTGACTGTGCATGCAGTTTCTCAAGTCTCGCTTGCGAGACAGGGCATACGTGATTGCATCGAGGCTGGCAGACCCAAATATTGCCATGCTTCTACATGCAAGTATGCACATGCTTCAAAAAAGCCAGCGATGAGGTGGCAGCCATTTGCACAAACCTGTGGTGCAGAATGGAAGTCTGGTGAGTGCATTTCGGTTTCCTGCTGCATTTACTCACTGCTTGAGTCTGCTTACTGAGCATGGTTCACGTACGTGTGCTGCTTGTGCCATGTGCGGAGTTGCGCATGCGTGTATGTATGTGAGAGGGACAAAGAGAGGGAGGCCAGAGCACGGCTTTAGCAGGACCACCTAAGATCTGTCAAAATAAATTGGCTATTTGCCGAGCCACTTCTCCGCCGCTTGTGCTTCTGGCTTTTGCCACGACTCTTCTGCCGTTGTTCAGGCGATTTGGCCTGCATGGAGCAAGCTGCAGTGTGAAGCTGCTAGATCAAAACAAGGCCACCAGCACTTCGAAAAGCTTTGGTCGGGTTTCATGATCGAGCTGTGTGGTGAGGGAGTGCGGCAAAAGTGGAAATGGACGGTTTGACTGCCTGTTCTGGGGTATACGGAATCACAGCTGCACTTGCTGGCTTGGTCCGGCAAAGCCTCGCAAATACCTGCAGGAGTTGGTTCGACGGCTGTAGCACTCCAGTCCCAGAGTGTCATGCTCGTGGAAAGCATGCCTTGCGTGTTTCGGGTTCTTTTGGATCTCCAATCAGCAAGGGCCGCTATGCTTTCAAGATACCATGCTGTCAGAACATTCCGACCTCTCTCAAGAACAGCGTCTGCCCTCGCAACGCCAAGGCCAAAAGTCAGCTGACGTAGATGCTTTGCCGAACATGCAACTCGAAGAACATCGCTGAACTCACCGTGCATGATACACGACTGTTGGACTTTGCTATGCGCCAGCCAGGGCCTTCTTTTTGGGTCGTTTCCGCGTACTGGCAGATGAAGCCTTGAGGGAGACTGGATGCCACAGAAGAAGCGAAGAAGTGGTGTATGCGTGAGACATATGAGCTGATCACATGCAGCGCCATGGCTAGACCGCTTCAGACGTGTCCCGGATTCGACTCGTGTCGAGCATTTCTTTTACTTAGAGAAACTCGGCCAAGTGAATCCTAGTGAGACGTGTTTGCACAGCCTGGCAAGGCCAACTCACAGTTTGAGCTTCAGTTGTTCGGCAGTAGAAGCATAATAAGACTGCGCAAGGCGAAGCGACAAGTACTTGTAAGCCGAAGTTGTGCCCTGGCAATCGGCAGCATGAGCCTCCTCCTCTTCGTCGCTATAGGAGCTGTGCTTGCGCTTCTTCTTTGCTCTGGGTTCCTCGGACTTTTTGGCCTTGAGTTTCTCCTGCTCCTTTGCCTTGTCTTTGCCTTTCGCCTTGTCCTTCTCCTTCTCCTTGCTTTTGTCTTTCCCCTTTGCCTGTGCAAAACCGCAAGACCAGGCGTTGCATGTACACGCTTGCTCCACGGCTCAAACACGAGCAAAAAACTGACGACCAGAACCATCGTCGGAAGACGGCACAATCTCGCTGCCAAGCCCATCCTCTAAGCAAAGCAGTGCGGGACGAAGGGCAATGCAGGTCATCTGCAGCGACCCTGGGGCGCTTCACTGGATCAGGCCTTGTCTTTCTTCTGCTCCGACTCCTTGCCACCCTTCTTGTCTGCATCCTTCTTCTTTCCTGAGACTTCGGATCCCATGGCAAATCTCAGCCGGCTGCAGAGGCTCCCGAGGTTCAAGCACCAAGCACACACAGGTCGCAGCCAAAACGGAGCCAAGAGATGACAAGAGTCCATCCTTCGACGTTTTTTCCTCCTTTGCTTCCTCTGGCTTCCTCAGCAGGCAGGAGGTCTGGCTCCACGAAAGACCGCTTGCGCAGTGGCCGAGATACCAGTCAACATCGGTCTTACCGTCTAGCAGTCAGCAGCTTCTTCTACAGATGCCACGCATGCTTGACAGCACTGAAGCCACACCTTTGAGGTGCCGCTCGCAAGGCGCCATAAAGAAAATGAAGTCTTCATCACTCGAAATTGCATCACTGTACAGCACTCTGAGGACGACCCCGCGAGTCAGAGTTCAGCACAGGTGCTTGGCTTCAGCAGCCTTCCTCTTAGCTTCCTGCAGGTTCACAACAAACACCGCTTGCAGCAGAAAGGACAAAGTGATGATGTCTACAAAAGTATTCTCACATTGTCGTCCCCCCTCCCAAATGTTTGACCCTGTCCTGCTTAGCTGCCTTCTTTTTTGCGTCGTCTTCTGCCTTCTTCTTTGCTTCATCCTCCGCTCCCTTGATCACCCACTTCCATCCTCAACCATGCACTGGCTGGACAAGTCGTTATAAAAAAAAGAGGAAAGGGTGGCACCTGCTTGCGCCTCATGAACTGATGGCAACCAGAATCAACCTCTAGCCGGTGCAATTCAAGAATAAACCACAGGCAAATGGGCAATCACAACTACACTCGATCTGTTGGCATGATATACATAGGACAAAACGTGCCAACACAGGGTACAGTACAGGCTTGTTGCTTGTGGCAGGTGGTGCGAACATCCGGCCAGGTCGTGGCATTCGCACTCAGTCATGGTGCATGAAAGAACTAGGCATGAGGGCCTTGGGCTTCGGCGACTCTGAACATGAGACAGGACAAACTCTGGGCTCTAGATTTGGGGTCGGATCGGTTATGCCCCCGCCCCCACCATGGAATCTTTGGAGTCTTTACATCACAGAACGGCAACCCCTCGCATGCCCACCTGTTCCCACCTGCGCCTTCGGGATCGTCCTTTCACCTCCGGCTCGAGCTGCGATCACACATGGAATGCATCAGGAACCATAGTCCCTAGCAGCCCTAGCGAAATTCAACCTGCTGCAAGTTCGAGGTCATGTACTGCATGGCTGCACTCTCTAAAGCCTCACTATGTGAGAATTTGTCAAAACTGGGGCTCAAGTGACTCTCAGCTTTAGTGTGAATTACCCAAGGAAGAAAATTCCACTGATGCATAAGGTCTGGCAGACAAGTGCTGGCCTGCCTGAGAAATACACAATGCAAGGAACGGGGTCAACGTTGCCTTGACACATTTCGACACCTTCGAGTCATGAGGCGTCGTGCATGAATGGTTTATCCATGCATAAAAAGATTACAAATCCCTCAGACATCCGTGGCAAACAGGAACTGAAAGCCACAGACCTCCTCAGAAAATGGGGGTATGAAAGGCCAGGAATAACAAAGGAAATCATGCTTAAACAGGCCCGCAGCCCGAAGCCGGGCCGCCTTCCACCTTCCAGAGGCCCGTCGCTTCTCCAAGCACCTTCACACGCTCGCCCTTGTGCATGGCATACCTGACGCTGGGGCACTCTGCAGGGGCCCCAGAAGGCACTATCCATCGGCGTGTGGGCAGCATGCGTCACACATCACAGCCGTATCTGGGCAACCCATCTAGCCGGTGTACAGCCGAGACCCTGGCTTTTTCTGCAAAGCCTCGATCACACCGCCGATGCCTTTCACGGTGCCTTTTCGTGTGGTGGAGGTCAGCGACTTTGGCAGTACCGAGTGGGGCGAGACTCATGCAAAAAAGTTTCATTCCTCACCCTGAAGATTCCATGAACCGTCTGTTCCCTCGTAGGTTGCAAATCCTGAGTGCAACCCGTGCGACTTAGAACCAAGTTCAAGTTTAAGAACTCAACAGCTACTTGCAGGACTCCTCTCTCGAGAATGGCAAACTAAGTCTTGAAGGCGTCATGTCTAGGATGCAATACATAATCGATTCTAGCATCATTCGCTCCAAGCTCAATCATCCCAAATCTTTCTCTTCACACCCAAGGGCATGGAAAGTAAAGCCGACTGTCATCATTCAGTTGCTGCCCGAATTTTCAAGCGTGGCCTTCCATCACCTTCGGCTTTGCGTCCTGGAGAATCCACAGTTGGTGCAAATGTCGACATTGCATAGACGATATCGGCCAAAGGAAGGAGCATTCAGCTGGGGTGGCCAATTGCACAGTCTCTCGAGACTCAGTGCTTGAAGCCGAAACATGCACTCATCCGAGTCAAACGTAGCGGAGCCCCCTCGCCGGAATTCGCAAGTGTCCCTACGATTGCTTCCATTGCGCGAAACGTTCACGACACGAGCACACACATAGCTTGTCTGCATGTGAGCTGGTCAACAAGATAGCACTCATAATGTCGTGAGAAGGCGACTTCCGTCGTAGCCGTCGTGCAAGTCGGGAGAGCCTCGAACTTCTGGTCCACGCCGGCGCAGCGCCGCTCGTGAGCCGGTACCTGGCAATCACGCGGACTGTGACGGAATTTGGGAGGTCAGGTCGGCGCAGACGCGTCGAACAAGGCCAAAGGGATTTGCCAAAGTTTTCCTCCTAGGTTCTATTTGGGAGCTGAGGTTTGCATGAAGCTCAGGAAATCCAAACCAGCCCAGCCCGAAGCATTAAAGACAACGGTCTCGACAGCTGGGCAAGGGCTCTCAGGTGCCGACGAGGGTGCCCGAGCCCTTCACGGGGCTCGTATTTTGGCAGGCTCATGACTTTGGTATCGAGGTAGCGACTTGTCGGAAGAGCCATCTACCCGGCGGCCTCCTCGTAGATAGGATTGTCCAAGGAGTGCGCAATCATTGCAGAAAGCTCCTGGCTGAAAATGAACTCAGGCCATCAGTCCCACACTCTTTCACAAAGCCACAAGGTCTGACTGACAAAGCGTTTCTCACGAGCTCTTTTTTCTTGCCGGCTGCAAGCATGTTACACAGAATTGCCACGGGTAAAGAGTGGGTTGGATCTCGGCTCCCAGCACATTAAAATTATCAGGAACCTTATCCGTGAGAATTGTTTATTTTGGGATGGTAGCTTGCACTCCGCAGCTAAAGATTGCCCTATCGTCGGAGCAATATGGCCTGTTCGCAGTACAGGATGATGTGCTTTGGAGTGCGGCATCTCCCTGTCCCGACATGTGCTGGTCTTCTGAGCAGAGACTGCCTACAGTCGCAGCACAAGGGATTGCTGTTGGACATCTCCTCACCAAGTAGTGCATGAGTTGCTCTTCTCTTGACTTCGAAGTCGTTTGCGTTGCGTGAGGATGATTTTCACTTCAGCAAAAAGCGTGCCGTGTTTAGCACGTGGGCAAAACATGGAATCCTCGGCGCGCTTCCGCAGAAAATTGAGCCCCTGCACACTGCAATACGACAAAATGTGAACCTGGGGGCAGAGCAGGTCTTATCTTAAGCCACAAGGAACATCAAACTCATCTGTCAAAAACTCAAGGCGAGTAGCAGAAAGCTCGGCAAAAGGCTCAGGAAACGGCTAGCAACCACTGCGAGTCTGAAGGCTGACGGCTATAGAATCTGTGGAAGGCGTAAGTTAGAAGAGATCCTCTGAAACCTAGGACCTATAAGAAGTGCTGCAACGTATAGACAGGCACAAAGCCGCCGCACTGTCAGACCATGTGCAAATTCTTAGTATTTGTGTCCTGAGGTACAGGTAGCACAGCCTATCTGGACACATGGGCTGCGGATCAGAGTTCTTGCCTCTGGCCTGTGGTGCCGTAGCGCCATAGATGAAAATGCAGAGGCGGAGCATAGGCAACTATTTTAATTGCAGCTTCGGCCCTGCTAAACGGAGGCCATATCAGGAGAAACTCGGCCGAGCTTCGGTAAGCCAAGCCTGTTAGGGACAGAATGTCCAGCGCAAAGATTAAACCATTTCGGGTTCACGGCCCTCTCACATCAGCAGGGCAGCCGGGGTAGCGGCCACCAAGCGCTTCCAAAGTGCACTGAAAGCCGTCGATGCAGATACGTCCTGATGGTGCACACCATGCTTCTTGCAAACATCGCGGGTGATGTGGCGAATGGTGTCGTAGCAATGGTGACCGATGCCAGGGAACAGGTGGTGCTCGATCTGGGTGGTCAGACCAAACGCCATGTGGAACCAGAAGTCCGACTCAGAAGCAAAGTCGACACTCTCTGCGATCTGCATCTTGGCCCAGGAGTCATACTTGTTGGAGTTGGGGTAGAGAATGACGTGGGCGACCTGGGAACAAGGAACGAAAATGGCCCCGGCGGTGAGGTACATGCACAAGTAGCAGAGGGTGGAGGGGCCGAAGGTATAGTGCAAGATGCACCAGAGGGGAATTTCGAAAAGAATTCCACCCAAGCGGTAGTCCACTTTGTGCCCTCCGACATGGCCACGGATGAGCAGATCCACGATCATGCGCTTCACACCGAGCTCGATCACAGTGCCAATAAAGATGCCAGGCAGGGACAAGGCCTTCATCCACCCAGGCAGCTTGTCAGCGATCCAGATGTATTCCACATCTACATCCTTCTCGGCATCACCATCCTGGTTTGTGCTCACATGGTGGCTAACGACATGCTGGTAGTACCAGCACATCGAAGGTCCAACCAGGAAGAAGCCGGCGAACATGCACACGCGATTGACCCATTCGTTCTTGCTGACTTGCTGATGGCCACCCTCATGAGAAAAACGGGTGCCCACTGTGGCGACAATGCATCCGGCAAGCAAGCTGGACAAAGGCGTGCGGACGATGAAAAACAGCCACATCATGATGCACCACATAATCGACAGTCCCACAAAGGCGTGCGGGCGCATTCGTGTGCTCCCGCAGCCACCGGGGAAGGCCTTCCGAACTCCTTCCTTGATCTCCTCGTAGAAAGGATCTGGCGCAGGCGGGGCCACGCCGTGGGCCTTGAGAACCTTCCTGTGCTTGTCGTTCCAAGGGTGGTAGGACTCAAAGAGGGCGGTACAGTCACGGCCACGCCCTGTCAAGATCGCGAAGCGACCGCCGGGGTGCTTGTCCACGAAATCATGCAGGTCGTAAGAGTTGCCGTGGATGTACCAAAGATTTGGGTCGTACGTGCTGGGCTTCTGGTCCTTGGGCTGGGCCTCAGTGGGAGAGTCAGAGGCACGGGTGGACTCGTCAGAGTCCGCTCCCTCAACCCTCTTGACGGCGTTTTTGCGCACCATCTTGGAGACAGGCTGATGATCACCTTGTGGGGTGGGGCCACACTATATGCTTCAAGCTTGAGCCAGAGCCACTAGGCTTGGGGCTTTGAGGATGCTCGTAGCTGGAGTGGCAGCAAGCGCCAAGACCTCCCTTTTCTCGTGAGAAAACAGATCCCTCAACCATAGAGGCCTTTCCATGGATCAAACACGCCGACGGTTGCCTGCATTTTCTTGCTGGGCTGCTTCTTGACGGCGACCTGTTTCTCATTGCCCGTTCCTGCAGGAAAGACACTCCAAAGCAGCCTTCAACAAACGTCTGCATCTCTCGGTAAGGTTCGTGCCGCCGGCAGTGCACATCAAACAGCACAAATACCCACCGTGAAGACTTGGGATCCTCCTAGTCAAGGACCGGATGTACATCGCTCGTTGGCCCCTGAACTTCGATCGACCAACAACCAAATCAGGCTGAAGCCCACAATATCCCACAATTCTGAGAAGCGTTCAGCCAGCCCCTGGGCCGTCGGCTGCCCGAGAGTGCGCGGAGCTGTAACTCCATGTCCAGGAACCTCATTACGAGATATTCTGAGGCGTAGCCACCAGGAGCCGACGGCATTCTACAGCAACGCTCGGCATGCAGCTTGGATACTAATCAGTCCGCCCGACAATGCTTGCGGCCCAGTGTCCGTTTGACTCTCCCATAGAGGATCTCGACCTGGGTGGCTCTGACACATCAGGCTCAGTGCCCCTGAACGCAACTTCGTGACTTTACGGAACTGTAGGCTTTCAAAGATGGAACTGACGAACCTCGCCAGTGGTCCTTCTTCGATGAAATGCCGGTCATGCGACTAACCGTCCAGCTACATCATCGCGATTTCGCAGTCAGCCTTGCACTCTACTGCAACTACATCGCTACGTCTTCTGCATTGGAACCCCGCGAAATCAAGCCTCAAATCCGCCCCAAAAACTTTCAGCCAAAAAATCCTGCCTGGAAGCAAATCCTTGCTTGCAAAAAGCCGGATTTCTACCCGGGAGTGTTCGGAGGTGCAGGGATGCTATAGGCAGTTCAGACAATACAGTAGTTGCTCGTGTGACCTGGTGCGGTCGATTTCTAAAGAATAATACACATGTGCTTTCATGCTACAATAGATCCTGTGACACACCATCCTGTGAGCACGGGCAGAAAATTCGGGCGATCACTTCATCAGATTCAGCTGTTTCATGCGTGCTTCTATACCAGACGAGGCATCTCGACTTCTGCCTTACCTGGGATAAGACCCTGTTTGGTAAATTCTGCACCAGAGCCTTTCCCGGAGAACATGTGGAGGGACAGGGCTTGAAAATGATAGGAACTGGCCAGACCAAAAAAAATATGCTGCATAGGGCTACGCCGTGCCAAGCATAGCGGCCGATTCCAAGACTCAGAAGCTGGGCTGACACGACGGTCGCAAGATACATCTTCGAACTTCTCTGCACATGTCCCTTGCTCTTCACCCTCTGCTGAAGACCCCTTTGCCCACAAACTAAGATCTCGGCTGGATCTCTGGACTCTTTCATGGGGCCATCGAAAATGACCCGGTACCTGTGGTCCAGCATTGAAGCTGCAGAGCGACATCATGCAACGGCTCCACATGCCCATGATTGGACCAGCGTGTAGGGTCTGGGCTGAGAGAAAGCCGACACGAATGAGTTCTCGACATGGACGAATTGGCGCATCTTCTTCCTTGTCATCTATTGAGGCCCGTGCTGGTCGGTTGGGCTCATCTCCTGTGCAATCGATGTTATGCCCATGAAAACAGGCTTTGGCAGCCGTCCAGAGCCATTTATTCTGGATCTTGGGGTGCATATATGCTCATGCTTACATATCCCGTCAGCCAGTGTGCAGGTGTGGCCCGTTGCAAAAAAAGAATGCAAGGTGCAAGCTCCGACCGCGGCTCCTGGAACACACCGCGTGCCTTTTCGTTCAGGTGAGCGTAGTTTTTGACCAGAAAGCTATCCCGCTCCTCAAGAATCATGGAGAAAGGCAGATCCTCGGCCTCTGCCATGTCGCTAGACCGGTAAGACTGTCTTTGTCATTGGTACTACTTCCAAGGCACTGCACACATCCATGAACAACCGGTGCCCCGAGTATTGTCGCAAAGTGTGTAGTTATCTGCGCACACATGCATGATCGAATGCATGCGCCTATGAACATAGGTAGGTGTGCATCTCTGCGTGTATGCATGGATGTATGTATATGTATATGTATATGTATATGTATATGTAAATGTAAATGTAAATGTAAATGTAAATGTATGTATGTATGT